AGTTAAATTTACATTTCTACTTGATCCAGCAATTTTACTGCTAGATATTTACCCAAGAGAAATGAAAACATATGCTCACAAAAAGACCTGGAAACAAATGTTTTTAGTCACACTATTCATAATAGACAAAAAAACCCCAAAAAAACCCAAAAAACAAAATAACTGGAAACAACCCAAATGTTCATCAATTGGTGAATGGATAAATAAATTGTGGTATATCCATTCAGTGAAATACTACTAAGCAATAGCAAGGAACAAATTATTGACACATGGAATATTGGATGAATCTAAGACACTAAGCTAAGTAAAAGAAATAAGACACAAATGGCTACACACTGTAGGATTCCAAATATAAGAAATGCGGGAAAAGGCAAAATTGTAGAACCAGAAATCAGATCAATGGTTATCAGGAATCATGGGTGGGTAGGATAGACTGCAAGCTGGCACAAGGGAACATTTTGGGGTGATAGAAATGTCCCATACCTTGAATGTCATGGTGGTTGTTGGATTTCATAGGTTTATTAATACTCATTGAACACTTAAAAATGTAAATTTTATCTGATTGAATTAACTGACTGAATTTACCTGGCTGAATTAAATCTAAAAGAAAATAAAAAGAAAAACCACATGTATTTGAAGTGGACCTTCTGAGCCAAGTAGAAAGCTGATTTTAAATTTTTTTTTTTTTTTTTTGAGACAGAGTCTCACTCTGTTGCCCAGGCTAGAGTGAGTGCTGTGGCGTCAGCCTAGCTCACAGCAACCTCAAACTCCTGGGCTCAAGCAATCCTCCTGACTCAGCCTCCCGAGTAGCTGGGACTACAGGCATGCGCCACCATGCCCGGCTAATTTTTTCTATATATATTAGTTGACCAATTAATTTCTTTCTATTTATAGTAGAGACGGGGTCTCGCTCTTGCTCAGGCTGTTTTAGAACTCCTGACCTCGAGCAATCCGCCCGCCTTGGCCTCCCAGAGTGCTAGGATTACAGGTGTGAGCCACTGGCGCCTGGCCATCTTGTATATTGTTGATGGAGTAATCTTTCTCATACTTAGTTCTAATAATATCTCAAAAAAGCTTTTAAGGATCCACTGTCACCTACAAAATTAAGTCCAGACCCTTTAGCCAGATCATAAAGTCCTCCTTGTTCTACCCCAGCATACTCTTTCTCTCTTCTCTACCATACTTCTCTAAGTCAAGTATCTGTCTTATAGCTTTTAGAGAGTGATTAGAAAGGATGACTCTTAAACTCCTAGTTCAGTGGTTCTTATTCCTGACTGTACATCAGAATCTTGGGAAGCTTTAAAAAGACATGGTTGCCCAAGCCTTTTCTGTAGAGATTTGGATATAATTGGTTTGAGGTGTGGTCTGGGGGTGGTCTGTTTGCTTTTGTTTTTGGAGTCTAGGTGATTTTAATTTGCAGCTAATCTGAAGTGCAGATCTGGCACATTAGCTAGATGGATCTCACGCATTCCTGCTTTTATGTCTTTGTACCGGTTCATTCTCTTCTGGAATACCTGTCCTGTTGTCTTCGGTGGTCCAGGCCCTCCCCATCCTTTAAGGATGCCCAAAGGCTCAGCTCACAGGCAACTCCATACAGACCCTTTGCTTCATCCCTCCTCCCAAATAGGGTTTCTCCCTTCTTTGAACTTTTTTTTTCTTTATAAACTTCCTTCTGACATTTATAATGTTCTGTTTTGTAATATAGTTTTTTTTTTTACTTATTTTTTTCCTATAAGATTTTAAGCTCTTTGAAAAAACTATAGCTGATTAATCTTACTGATCACTTAGCACACTACTCTGTAGGGCACTTAGTAGGGGCTCTGAGTAAATATTTTTTGAATGTTTATTCTCGCCGCTTCTTCACTTTGCGCAGTTGTTCCCTCTGCCTGGCACCCTCTTCTCCAGATATCCCCACGGCTCAGTGTCACCTTATTAGTGTGATCATCTCTGACTACTGTATTTATTTATTTATTTTTTTTTTGGAGACAGAGTCTCGCTTTGTTGCCCAGGCTAGAGTGAGTGCCGTGGCGTCAGCCTAGCTCACAGCAACCTCAAACTCCTGGGCTCGGGTGATCCTTCTGCCTCAGCCTCCCGGGTAGCTGGGACCACAGGCATGCACCACCATGCCCGGCTAATTTTTTCTATATATATCAGTTGGCCAATTAATTTCTTTCTATTTATAGTAGAGACGGGGTCTCGCTCTTGCTCAGGCTGGTTTTGAACTCCTAACCTTCAGCAATCCGCCCGCCTCGGCCTCCCAAGAGCTAGGATTACAGGCGTGAGCCACAGCGCCCGGCCTGTATTTATTAATAATACTGTAACACTGTCCCTTCCCACATTCCTTTCCCCCTAGTCTCCAAATTGCCATCATCAGCTGAATACTCTCTCATTTGTCACCTGTCTCCTCTCACTGGCATGTAAGCCCCAAGAGGAAGGGCCTCTGTTTTGTTTGCTGTTGTGCCGCCAGAGCCCACTGCAGTGCCTGCCTATAGTAGCTGCTCAAGAAGCAGTCCCTGAATTTAATGAATGAACGTTATGGACATTCATCTTACTTTGTATAATTCTCTTCACAAACCACAGTCAGGCAAGGTAGGCATGTCAAGTTCATCATCAGGTAAGAACATTCGAGGTTTGAGAGTAGGGCTAAGCATTTTGTCCAAATTCATCAACTTTTATGTGACAGAGCAGAGCACAAAACTCAGAGTCCTGATTTGTGGTCCAGGGCTCTCAGCTCTATCCCCCACCTTCCAGCCATCCTCTCGTTTGGTCTGTCAGTCCTTCCCTCCTATCCTTACCCAGACCCACCCCTAAGAACTGAGGGACACAGGTTGAGAATGCAAATGGGGGCTCACACACCTTACATCAAAGTACCAGCAAGTTCTGTGCCAAGCAAGCAAACTATTAAACATGTCTATTCTCCTTTTTTTTTTTTTTTTAAAACAAATATACACCTTCATCATGACTCGGTAGGCTGGGTTCAAAGGCAGAATTCTCGGACTCCTTGGAGCTGTGAGCAGGAGCGTGGCAGCCAGGTTGCCATATGAACATGGAGCTTGCCCGACTGTCTCTTCCCAGCCCTGGCTCTCTGCCTTATTTCTGTAGGCTTCACGAGCACATCTGCAGACATCCTTCTTACAGGTCCAAGTTCCGCCACTCTCCTGCAAACAGCTACCCCTTGGCCACCACTTGGGGCCATACATATCCTCTGTTGGTCCAACCTTGAGAGGACAGACTTGGGCCTGGAAGTGAGCGTGGGACTGAATGGGCAGGAAATTCTGCAGTCCTGTGCACTCAGCATGGGGGAAGATGGGCTCCTGGTTGGGGCAGAGGGTGTCTTGGCTTCTCAGACTCTTTGTCCCGTGGGGAGAGGTGCAATTGGAGCAGGCCCAGAATGGGGCCCTCTAAAGCTGGGCCCCATTTTGCCCAGGTGTAAGGGTGGTACTGACCCTCCCTCCCGCTCCCCACACCAGACGGTAAGCCTGCTGAGGACCCAGGCTGATGCTCCTCCTCCCCCAGAAGGTGTGTGATTTAACTGGAAAGCAGGAGATGAGAATTCCAGTTGGAGCTGAGTCTTATGGAAGTAAACTAAGCTCTCTGGCTTGTTTCTTGATCTATAAAATGAGAATTGGATGACACAATCTCTAAAATTCTTTATAAAAGATTCTTTTATAGTCCCCTACAGCACTAAGAGTTTACAGTAGGTGCTCAGAAGCGTTCGCTAGATTTATTTGTTGCATAATTTGGTACAAATGCCCTAAGGCTTTGTCTTAATCTTTTTGCGCAGGCATAAATGTGTGCAGGCGTGTGTATTTATATATACATGTGGGGTCATGTATGTGTGCGTGCACACTGCTTGCACACCCCCCACTCCCTCCCCACGTGCCTTGTACCATTCGTCCCCCTCAGACTGCAGTCACGCCACCTACCAGCTGGACTGTCAGAGCCTGGGAGACAGTTCCCTAGATGCAGAGGCAGAATGCTCTAAATCCTAAAGGAGTAACATTTAGTTTTATGCCTTCAGAGCTGGGAGACCAAGGGACCCTTAGGGATCTCATTTGCCTTGGAGAGTTGGTGCCCATGAGTCATTTCCATTATCTCAAAGTTTTTATTTTTATTTTAATTTCCAACTGATGTCAATCCCTTCTTAATGAAGGGGCAAACGTTTCATTGTCCTTGAGGTGGCTGAGAATGGAGGGGGGCCTCCTTTCTCTGACACCCTGGAGTCTAGCATAGGCGGAAATCTGCAAGGTTGAACCTCTTCGCTGGACGCTGTGGTTCAAATCAATGCATGTACCACGAGGGTTTACTGGTGTTATTGGAAATCCTAAGCAAGATGACACCATATTCGAATTTCACATTTAGTAGGGGAAGCAAAGCAGAAATTCCTATAAAACGTAAAATAACACAACAGGACAAGACAATTCGAAAATCACGCCAAGACAGTGGTTTGTGGTCCAATGTGCTGTTTATACAAGAAGTTGAGAGAATGACGTAAAACGTGTGAATAAGAGGTCCCAGATCTAGGGCCACGGTAATCCAGGGATCAGACATGCCGGGTGAGCAGTCTCCACTTAGACACTTACCTGAGGGTGTAAGTAAGCTCCAGACGAGGTATAGAGAGCTCTGCTTACGGTAGGGAGTTGGGGGCATGGGGTGGGGAGCAATTGCTAAAAATAGGGGCTGAGTATGATGGGGGGCATAATAATGTACGAAATAATTAGGGGCATTAACAAAAACTATCTTCAACTTTTATTCTCATTTTCCTTGAAACTAACAGGTAGGTACTTACAAAAGGAAGTATTACTGATTCTTTAATAATCTCGCCAGTGCAAGCCGCCCAGTTGGGTTGGAGCTGCCGGGCTGGGCCTGGTAGGGAGACCCAACTGGAGGCTAACCGGATCCTTTGGTGAGTGTAGATGATTCACATCTTCCACCGTCCACCATCCTTTTCTGGACAATAAGACACTGCCCACCATACACATCTCTAGCACACCGACGGGATGCAAGGACCAGTTCCGCCTTCCAAGACCTTTCAGCCACCGGGCACCTCCAGCGTTACATGCCTGGCACACAGTAGGTCCTCGACGCACGTTAACTTTCTTCTTCACGTCCCTCATTTCCCCTGGGACTCCAGCCTCAAACTGCCTGGGGCATGGGCATTCTCTCCACCTCCCACGAGCGCTGCTCTCCCTGAAGAGGGCCTGGCCGTGCGGGGTCTCGCCAGCCCCGCCGCGGTGCGGGCCGGCAGCCGCCCGCCCAGGGCCTACTACGCGCCGGGTCCTGCGCGCGCTTCCCGAGGACCGCAGAGGTGGCGGGACCTTAGAAGCCGAAGGGATGGGAAGAGCTGCGCGCGCGCTTTCCTCAGCCCTTTACTGCACGCCGGGCTCTGGGGAAATGAGCCCGACTTCGCCCTGCTTTGTCCCCTCCGCAGCCCCACGGCTGCCCGGCGAACGCAGGCGCTCCACACACACCTGCTGCCCGCACGGAGCCGGCGGGAGAGGAGGAGCGAGGGGCCCGCCGCCCTCGGCGCTGGCCAGGCTCCCCGGCTCGGGCCCCTCCTAGCGGGCCTCCGGCTCGGGGCGCCCGGGGCGAAGGCGCAGGGCCCCAGGGCGGCGGGCCCGGGCGTTAGGTGCGGGCCGGGGCGGCGCCAGCCTTTGCCCGCGTCCCCTCCCGGAGGCGGGTCCCGGGAGGGGCTGGCACGCCCGCCGCGCCGCGCCCGCGCCCCGCGCCGCCTTCTGGCCGGCCCGCAGGCAGGCGGCGCCGGCCGGGAGGTGCTCGCCTCCCGCGCCCGGGCCCGCGCGTTGCCGGGCAGCGGCTCCGAGGCTCCGAAGGGGCGGAGCGCGAGGCCGGCGTGCGCTGGCGCCCCTGTCCGCGGTTCCGGCCCGGCCCGCCCCGCCTCGCCGGCCTCCTCCCGCCGGTGCGCGGCGCCCCGTCCAGCCGCAGCCGCAGCGGCCGCCCCTCCGGGCCTGAGCGCGCCGAGCCGCGAGCCGGGGCCGGCCGGCTTGGACTGCGGGGGCGCGGCGCCGACGCCGAGCGCGGCCATGGAGGGGAAGCCCCGCGCGGGTCGCGCTGGTCCTGGGCCGGGCGGCCGCGGGCCTTCCGCCCGCCGCGCCCGCCGCCGCCGCCCGGGGCTGCTGCTCCCCGGGCTCTGGCTGCTGCTGCTGGCCCGGCCGGCCTCGTGCGCCCCAGGTAAGCCCCGCCGAGACCCTCGGGACGCGGCCGCGACCCTGCCTGCCTTTATTGCTGTTATTTTCAAAGCCCCGGCTTTCCCCGCCCAGCTTCTTTTATTCGCCACGGCTCCCTCGCCCTCCTTTCTGGAGATGCTTTTCCATTCTTCTCGGGCCCAGCAAATAAAGGCACGGAGGAAATAAATAAATAAAACGGAAAAGCGAGCGGCTTCTGGCCAATCTTGCAAGAGGTCTGCAAAGCTGGGCTCTTGTTATCTAGGGAGCCTGAGGCGGGTCTGGTGGCTTCATCTCCAAATATGCCTTATTTTTCCTGCAAAATGCAGGCACTGGAATGGTATTCGTGCAAGGGTGTATGATGTGGCATATCGAATGTATTGGAATAGTTTATTGTCGGGGTGAAGGTACATTCGGTGTGTGCTTTAAAACAGTATTGCATTACCTTGAGTAGCCCAGTGTCCCCAGATGCATGCAGGCCGGCCGTGTCCCCCAGTGCACCAGGACACAAAGAACATTCAAAGAAAACCTCTTGGAAAGCTCCCTGGCCATGGATCTTTCCAGGGAAATAGCTATTGGTATTACTTCTGCAAAGGCATTATTAGTACAATGGAGTGTGGAAATATTTTGATTCTTAAGCGTCAGGACATGAAAGGAGAAAGGGTTGATTTTATAATGATGCAATTTAGTGACTGTTCATCAGCATGGAATTAAGAGGCATGATTTATGAAGAAGCATGTGGGTGCGTTTTGTTGTTGAGGAAATGATTTAATTCCTATTGCTTCTCTAAAATGTTTATTTGTCCACCCTGAGCATACTCACAGGCTGGTCTGGAAACCATCTCTGAGCTGACACGCTGCAAGCCTGTGATTGCCCCAGCAAAGGCACTAGACTACTCTGAGGGTGGAAAAGGAAAGGTGGAACGAGCAGCTTGGGGTGGAGAGCTGCTGCACACTGAACAAAAAACAGCCATGAAAGCTACTCAGAATCCTCCCCTCTCGTGGGAGGAGGGCAAAGGCTGCCAAGTGGCTTTGGAAGGAATCACATTTGAAGGTGTCCCTTGGACTTTGCTGTTGGAATTACAACAACCAGTGCCACGTAAGGGATTGTCCTCAGGGATCATAGAATGGGACCACTCCACTGGCTAAAGAGGAAACTAAGGCAGAGAAGTGCCTTGCTCAAGGTCACAGTCGTCACTTTACAATTCCCCCTACTGCTGTTAACCTGTAGACACATACATGCCTGAAGCCTCCACAAAGCTTTCCCGTAGCTGAGTAGCTGGGGTTGACAGAATGAGTCTGTTTTAGGCGGCATACAGCTAGTGCAGACGACTTCGCCTAAACCTGACACCTTAGGTCTCAGTCCTGCTCCTTGTGAGGTCCAGCCCTGTGTGTCCAGAGGACAGGGGATAATCGTGCAAGGTCTCTTGGCTTTCGTCAACAAAGAAAGCCCCTCTGCTATTATTGGATTCATCTGTCATAGGACACAGCAGACCGATTATTTCCTGAGTACTTCTGTGTGGCAGGTGCTGCATTTTATATAGACGATGCAGTCACGTTTCGAGTTAGGCATCCTTATCTCCATTTAACAGGTGAGGAAACTGAGGCTTCAGGAGTTCAGGCTGGTTTGGCTCCAGACTCTATGCTATGCGTAACCTCTGTGCTTGACAGCTTTCCGTTATGATGTGGCCGTCTGGATATACTGCAGAGGTTGTGGAGAATATAAGTGTCTCTTTGATAAATTTAAAATAAATAGTGGAGCTGTTTGTGCTATCCCTGCTGAACTTTCTCTTCTGCAGAAGTCCTTCCCTGTTTCCCCTCAACCACCAATACAAACATTCGTCCTGGAGACTTGAAATGAGCTATATTTCCATTCTAGAGCTGACATCATGGAAGTGGAGACTTCATCCTTTTGGTCATTTGTATATTAGGCTCCTCTGGTTTGCACAGCTGTTTCCAGGCTGGGTAATAGACCAAGAACTAAGTTGAAGCAGAGGGCATGGCCCTGTCCTCAAGGGTCCAGATGGAAACAGAGCAGTGGGTAAGCAAGTACAGACGGTTGCAGAGACCGCTCATGCGCAGGAAAGGTAGGGGTTCCTCAGAGGTGACCTGTGAGAAGTGGCCCCCGATGCACTTCTTGAAGGCCTGAGAAACGACCTTCCTAACGTAGCTGGGCTGCTTGCAGGATGCCTGGGCAGTAGCTGTTGATCCTGGAAAGAGGTTGCATTTCGCTTGTTTGGCCCACGTCTCCTCTCTGTGCCAGGACCCCCCACCCCCTAGTCCTGAGTGTTGTATTTTCACCAGCGGAGTGGGCGGGGGCTTTGCTGAACACTATGGTGGGTGGTTCTCCCTCTAAAGCAGTGCTAGTGAGAAAATGGCATGTCTTAGTCGTGGTTTGGATTTCCTATGTGAGGAAGCAGTCCCTTCTGGGGCTGTCTGAAAACTGCCTCCTCCTCCAGGTTTCTCTTCTCTGGATAATTTTTGTTCAGTAGAGTCCACCTTCCAGACGCTGCCCCTGTTACAGTGTTAACTTTCTATGCTGTATTGATTTCTTGCCTATTTCTATTTCATTCAATTTTTTGAATGTGTTTTTTAAAAAGAAACATAAGTTTGGTCTTGACCGTTCACTGTTGTGGAAAAAACTTATAATCCTTTGGACTGACTTTTGAATGCAGTGCTTTTAGGGGATCCACTATCCACAATAGAAAAAGAAAGAGCTGTGCCCCATTTCTTCACCCTATTGAGAGATAACTTTTTTTTTTTTAAATAATAGTTATTTTGAAATTGGTAGCCTTGCAGAGAATTTGGAAATTATTGAAAGGTACAGAAAACAATCACCCGTAATCCCACAGCACGTAGATAACACTAAATAGTTTTGTCTTTTTAAATTGTTGTTAACATTAAAAAAATGAGACTAGAATTATATACCCAATTGTATTTACTACTGTTTTCACTCAGTATTGAACTTAAGCATTTTCCTACTCATTAAATGTTATTTGAAAACAGTTTTCTATCCTAATTAATTATTCTTTTTATTTTCAGCTTTTTTTTGATGCTATAAATAATGCTCTGATGAATAGCTACATAGATAAGGCTTTATGTTTCTTTCTCTGTGTGTGTGTGTGTGGTTTTTTAAATATACATTTGTACAAAGGGAATTAGAATGTGAGTAAAATGTAAGGCCCAGGAGGCTGGATTTCTGCATGTTTTATTCAGAGTGCTGGGCACCTAGTAGGTGCTCAGTATGTGGTTGTTGAATGAATCAATTTTTGGAAAGTTGTGACACTGAACTAAGCCCTTAAGTTTATGCGTTTGCCCTCTATCATTTGCATTGAATAGTATTTCACTTCATCATCACTCACATTGAATATTATTTTTAAAACTTTTGTTAAATACATTTTTAAGACATTGTTTTACACTTTTTAGAGTTGAGTATTTTTGATTTTGTATCTTTATTCTGTGAACTTCTCTGTATTTTTGTTCATTTATCTGCTGTGGTATATATATATGTGTGTGTATATATATATATATTTAAATCTTTATTATATAAGATAGCAACCATTTAGGCCGGGTGCAGTGGCTTACGCCTGTAATCCTAGCTCTCTGGGAGGCTGAGGCGGGTGGATCGCTCGAGGTCAGGAGTTCGAAACCAGCCTGAGCAAGAGTGAGACCCCCATCTCTACTATAAATAGAAAGAAATTAATTGGCCAACTAATATATATAGAAAAAAATTAGCTGGGCATGGTGGCGCATGCCTGTAGTCCCAGCTACTTGGGAGGCTGAGGCAGGAGGATTGCTTGAGCCCAGGAGTTTGAGGCTGCTGTGAGCCAGGCTGACGCCATGGCACTTACTCTAGCCTGGGCAACAAAGCAAGACTCTGTCTCAAAAAAAAAAAAAAAAAAAAGATAGCAACCATTCTTCCTTCTATTTGTTGCATTTTCCCCTTCAAAGGATTTAAAAATTTTTTCACATAATTTTAAAATTCAGAAGTTTATGGTTATTTTGATTAGCAAAATCTGCCATTTTTCTTTTTGTAATCTTTTTCATTGCTTTTATGCTTGAGGCATGTTAAATTTTTAGTTGCTAATGTGCTATTTCACTATTGGCCATTTCCAGATGAATGTTTGTTATATTTTGTAAGTGGTTTAGTATCTTTTAAAGTCTTAGGTAAATGTTTCAAAGGTGTGGTCCCTAGACCTCCTGCATCATTATTATTTGGGGATGCTTGTTAAGAATTTAGGTTTCTGGGGCTCACCTTTAACCTAAATTAGAATCTTTGGTGGTGAGTGCCTGGGAATCTTCATTTTAATAAGTTCACAGCTCATTTTTAGGTTTATACTTTGGAACCACAGATCTAAATACTGTAAATCCAATAACTGAAAATGAATAGTATTTTTGAGATACAGTAGTCCTTCCTGTATGCAGGGGGTGTGTTCCAAGACCCCCAGTGGATACCTGAACCTGCGCATAATATCAAACCTTATATATGCACACATACATGTTTTTTCCTATACATTATATATGTATACATAGGATAAAGTTGAATTTATAAATGAGTGAGAGATTTACACACAGTAAGAGATTTACAATAACTAAAAATAGAACAATTATAACAACATATTTTAATAAAAGTTAGGTGAATGTGGTCTCTCAAAATACTGCAATATTTTTGGATGGAGATTGACCTCAAGTAAGTGAAACCTCAGATGAGAGGCACTACTGTATACCATTTAATATCTTGCAGTTGGCTTTTCACTGTTAGAACAGTTGGTTTAAAATTGCTACATTGAAACCACTTTCTGTAATATCTTATTTGCTTGGTTTTTTGTTTGGGTTGCGAGTAAAAGAGCATAGAGGACTGCATTTTAATTTCTCACCCCTGGACACTGGGGCACAGCTGCTGCAGTCCTTGTCAGGAAATGACCTGCTTAATCCTGAAAACAGAACCCAGTCAGGGTGTTGTTTAAAGTCACTAGGGACCTGGGAGCCACAGGTTTTTTTTTTTTTT